GTTTCCCAGATCGCAGTCCAAGACTCAACCACTATACCACGTGGGCTCTCGTTTCTTCAGAGACGGGGGACAGAAACTTTCCCCGAGGTCTCATTTTCCCACGGAAAATTTTTCCATCTCTATGAGGTTCACTGTTTCACAAAACAGCCACAAACTGATGCCGTTGCCGATACAATATCAGGCAAGCCTGGCAGGTTCAAAGTGGCACGAAATGTGCTACTTGGAATGGTGCGACTTTACATGTCTATTTCACTGATTTGTGGGGGGGGGAGGGGGATCCGTCTACGACCGAATCGGCGATATCGGGCTCATCCCGTCAATAATGCACAAATAGAGCAAATATTGAAAGGGGGGGCGGGAAATCACTTTATGAATTCACCTAAGTAATCGATCTGATTGACTGAGTCATCAAAACCAATAACTGAACATCTTATTTATATATGTCTCCTCTCAAGGGGTGGAACAGATATTGGGCTCCCCAGTCCAGTCAGGAACTAACAAATAATGCAGGGGATGCCATGAAATTGACAGAGAAACCAAGCGGCCAATCACCACATTTACTCAAAAGGAAGATGACCCTGAATGAACACCCCAATGCTCTCTCTCTCTCTCTCTCTCTCTCTGTGTGTGTGTGTGAGTGTGTGTGTGTGAAATGCGGTCAAGTCGCTTCCAACTTTGGAGAACCCTATGAATTAATGTCCTCCAGAATGTCCTGTCATCAACAGCCTTGCCCAGGTCTTGCCAACGGAGGGGCCCTCGTGGCTTCATTGACTGAGTCAATCCATCTCATGCTGGGTCTCCTCCTTCTGCTGCGGCCTTCAAATTATCCTGGCATTATTGTCTTTTCTTGTGAGTCTTGTCTAGGGGTGTGCAAAAAAAAAAATTGGTATTATTCGGATTTGGCTATACTAAACCCGAATTTTTTCGGGAAACCCAAATACCTATACGTCAGCTAAGCTGCCATGAGTGTGAAGTTGTTTTCTAATTGCCTTGCATTCCTTCCCATGCACTTAATTGCTTCTGAGCTGCAACGCTTATCTTTGAAGTTGTACTGATGGAGATTGTGGTGTCTATCATCCGTCGGAGCTTCTTCGTTCCCAGCTTCGCAACCGTTGGAGAGTCCAGCAGTCTCCCACGCGCGGGAGCCCACCTAATTGGTTACTGCTTGGGGGGGGGGACATACTAATGCCCTATAACCTATTATGCGCACAGGTAGCCCGCCAATCCCCAACAGTGTTCTTGTTATCGCATCTATGGCTTTTCAATAAAAGTAAAACCTTCCTGAAAGCGTGTACTTCATTGTTTAGCTGTGGGTCCTGACATTATACCGGTATAGTATAGATATCTGAACATTTTCAGGATTCCTGAAAAATGCGGGTCCATTATATCCAATGGGGCCATTGAACTCAATGGCAAAAATCTTCTGAAAAGTTTGCAGGGGGCTGGGGGAGAGGGGGTTTGAGGTAGAGGCTCCAAATGTGGACTGCAGCTGCTGGGGCCTCTCCCCAAAATACCCCCAAAGTTTTGAAAAGATTGGACCAGGGGGTCCAATTCCAGGGGCATCCAAAGAGGGTGCCCCCAGTTCTCCATTGTTTCCTATGAGGAATTGGGGATGGGGGAAAAGCAGACAGACTCCCTCTGTAAGAAACTAAGTGAGGTGTGGTGGTGGTTTGAGGGGCATGTTTGCCAGGCCAGCAGCAGAACCTGTGCAATGTGCCCCCCAGAACCAGTGCCACTGTGCCAGTCAGTGCCCCCAATTGGACTCAGTCCAAACCAGAGAATCTCTGCAGCATATAAACTGAGGGAGCATGTTTGCCAGGCCAGCAGCAGCAGAACCAGTGCAAAGTGCACAATATGACTGAAGTATGATAGCCTCAGTTCAGTCATTTCAGCTTCACGGGAGAGTTCAGATTTATTACTGGACATACTTGTATAGTCATGCCGGCCACATGACCACGGAAATGTCTTTGGACAGCGCTGGCTCTTTGGCCTGGAAACAGAGATGAGCACCGCAACCCTAGAGTCAGATTCGACTGGCTTTTGAGCAAGGGAAACCTTTACTTTTACCTTACACAAATGTAGTTTCCCCTCCCTTTTCTTCTGTTATAGTTTTTGTAGTGTTATAAAAAAAACAATAAAAAAATCCCCTCCGAGGGCTCAAAAAGAAAAAAACAAAAACAAAAAACAAATGTAAGATGAACCCCCCCCCCATTTTTAATAGCATATCTAGGAAAAAAGCCTACTCATCCATTTGAGTAAATACTGTAAATTCTGTTAAAATAGATAAATGGACAACTCTGTCCACAGCATACCACACTCAGTTCTTTGGGCGTGTTACAATTGCAATGCCGTCCTAAACAGAGTTACATCCTTCTAAGCGCGTTGCAGTCAGTAGGTTTAGAAGGGTGTAACTTTTCTCGGGATTGCACAGTTAGCGTGTTAATAATTTTGGTTTTATCCCCCCTTAAATTAAAACAACCTAAGGGGAAAAAACACCTAACATAAAATACCGTAACATGCTATATTACTTTTTGAATAAAAAATAATTCCTTCTTTGGATTTCTTTGAACATTTAAGCCACAGTTGATTAATCCCCCCCTATCAAACATTTTCTTTCAAGCACTGGTTGCTTTTGAGACACAAAAGCAGCATGGATTAGTCCCAACCATCCATGCTGCTTTTGTGTTGGGACTAAAAATGGAAGAACTCAAGGCAGACAAAAGAACTTTGATGTGGTCTATGGTGACAACAGCTAGACTGACTTATGCTCAATGTTGGAAGCAAGAAGGAGTCCCGAAGATTGAGGATTGGATTAAAAAATTGCTGTTTGCAGTTGAAATGGATAAAATGACAAGAAAATTGAACAATTTGGAAGCAGAAGGATTTTACAACGACTGGAGAGATTTAAAAGACTATTTGGAAAAACAGTGGGAAGTAAAAGACAATTTATTCAGCTTCAATAACTATTAAGTATAGAACTTATGAGTGTTTTTAGAGATACGATAAGTAAAGAAATAATTCTTATAATGAAATAAGAGTTACCTAGTGAAATATAAGAAGAAGAGCTACAGAAAAGTAAATGTGCAGGAGGTCGAAACACTGTTGGAAGCCGCATATAAGGGAGGGAAAGGGAGGTGGGTAGGATGTAACGGGGATAAATGTAGAAAACTTAATGTTGATTGTGAATGTTTGTATCCTGAATTAAAAAATTTGGTACCAAAAAAAAAAGCAGCATGGATTAGTTTTTTTTTAAGTTTTGGAGGGATAGCCACGCTAGCTTGCTGTAGCGAAATTACCCAGGGAAGCATGGTAAAGACGAAAATTTCAACCTGCGTGAGTCAGGTCTCATTTCCTGAGTGCACAACTGCTAGGCCTGGTTAAAACCCCACCTGGGTTTGGTTGTGGTGGAGAATATCACAGAGAATCTGGTATAAAAACAAGATGTGATTTTTAAAAAAAGGAATCCAGCCAACCCAGAGAGGGTGTGAGACCATTCCAGCCAACAACAGCAGAGTCAACTAACCCTCAAAGCTAATTGCAGGATGCAATGAGGCAGTGGAACAAATTGAAATATCCGTAAGGGGGTGTCTTCTCTACTAAATGCCAAACAAATATATAAAATAAGATCATGCTCTAACTTAGGACATCAGGAAATTTTCCCAGTGTAAATTCTTCTGGAAAACCCACATCTCTGCTTCCTTTCATCTGTCCCCAAGATAGACTGCCTCCAACCACGGAAGTTCCAACCTCCGACATCGTCTCGGATCTCTCTAAGCGCTACAGTCTCGTTTCTCTTCCCTGTTAAAGCTCCCTCCAAAGCAGGCTTCTGGAAAACCCACATCTCTGCTTCCTTTCATCTGTCCCCAAGATAGACTGCCTCCAACCGCGGAAGTTCAAACCTCCGACATCGTCTCTGATCTCTCTAAGCGCTACAGTCCTCTTCCCTGTTAAAGCTCCCTCCAAAGCAGGGCCAACGCTCCCGGCTTTAGGCTTTCCTACATCCATCCATCTGAAGAATACACCGCTCAAGAGAGCAAAGGATTGGTCAAAAACAGCTATTCTGTAAACAAGCCAACCCTACTCCTCCATTTCGGGCTGTATAAACTCACTCCTTAAGGGAAAAGAAATTGCACAAACATTTTATCAAAAAATACCTACCTGAGGGACTGCCTTTCCCCACATGTTCCCCAGAGAGCACTGCGATCAGGGGCCCAGAAGCAACTGGCCCTCCCAAGTCCCAAGGATGCCAGGCTGGAGATAGCCAGGGCCAGGGCTTTCTCGGTGGTGGCTCCGTTCTGGTGGAATGAGCTCCCAAAGGAGACCAGGGCCCTGCGGAACCTTTTACAGTTCTGCGGGGCCTTTAAAACTCGGCTCTTCCACCAGGCCTTTGGAGCCGCCACCACCATTAAACATCATTGATAACTAATGATCAAAGATAGAGAGCCCTGCTGCCCCTGGTATCGTTAATAACAGCTTAACAATGCCTGGAAGACACCGAAGGACTCTAGGAGCCAGCTGCGTGAAGACAGAACCGAGTATTGCAGTCATCATTAAATTAAATGACAACATACTAGCACTTATTAAGTCAGAGGGTTAATGGTTTTAACATTGTTTTAACTGTTTTATTGTAATTTTATGTGATGATCCCGTGTAAATTCACTAATTCATACTAATTCACAAGTAAAAATAAATATAGTAGTTAACCTATTAACCTAATAAGATGGCATTAAAACTACCAAATTGGGGGGGGGGGGGGTA